CTGTGGATTGAAGGGTCCCAGGTTTGATTCCGGTCAAGGGCGCATGCCTGGGTTACGGGCTCGATTCCCCAGTAAGGGGCGTGCAGAAGGCAGCCAATCAATGATTCTCTCTCATCATGTTTCTCTCTCTCTCTCTCTCTCTCTCTCTTTCCCTTCCTCTCTGAAATCAATAAAAAAGTATATATTTTTAAAAGCTGCTCTTTAAAAAAAGATAATATATGAACGTATAGGCTAATCTCAACTGGAGGCTATCACGAGTTTCTCAGAAGCTGTAGCATTCTTAGCTGTGCCTTAAAGATGAACAAGTAGGATTTCTGTAGGTAGAGAGTGGGGTGGGGCAGGAGAAAGGCCAAGTAAAGGCAAATGTTCACATCTGCTACAGCTAACTGATCCTCCTTAGCAACTGCTGAGCCCTGGATAGAGATAGCCACACCCACCCAGATGGTCTCAGATAAAAAAGACCATAGCACTTGCAAAGCAGAGAGCATCTGGAACACAATTTAACTGTCTTAGAACAGATACTTGAGCTCATCTCATTACAGAAAGACACAGAGAACTCCATTCCCAGACGTCTCCTGGTAAAGATACCCAGCCAATTGGGATTCTTGCCCGCTCTCTCCTCATTCCTGTATTGCTACCCGGTGAGCTTCTGAACATCGGCCTGTGAGACAATCTGGGGATTCAATTAGAATGAACACTCCCCTCAAATAATGCTCTTTAGTTCACTTTTGGTAGCTTAGAGTTCATTCCTTCTTCTATTCCATCAACAAATATTTGTGATTGCCTATTATATGCCAGAACAGTTTCTGGGCACTAAGATACAGTAAAGTAAATTGAAAAGATCCTTGCTGTGTCCTAGAGCTCCCCTTATAGTGGAGCAAGACAGATAGTAACTAAAGAAATAAACAAGAAAACTTCAACGAGTGAGAAGAGAATTAAAATAAGGTGACATGATAGTGAGTAAATGGGTGGCCTCTTATAAGGGTCATCTGAGATGGTGACATTAAGCTGAGCTCTGGCCCAGCTGGCGTAGCTCAGTGGTTGAGGGTCAACCTATGAACCAGGAGGTCACGGTTCGATTCCCGGTCAGGGCACATGCCCAGGTTGTGGGCTTGATCCCCAATGTGGGGCGTGCAGGAAGCAGCCAATCAATGATTCTCTCATCATTGATGTTTCTCTCTCTCTCTCCCACTCCCTTCATCTCTGAAATAAAAAATATATTTAAGAAGAAAGAAAAAAAGCTGAGCTCTAGGAGCCCATCATGAAAAGATCTGAGGGCAGCACATTCCAGGCAGAGACACGGCTCCTCCAAAGGC